TAATGGCTGAATCATGCCTCTTTATACAGGTGTTCCATAATACTAATTTGGTTATTTATAACACATAAATTTCTGTCCTAATAATAATTAAAAATATAATGAATACATCTTGTCCTGCAACTTCTCCTAGAATGACTTAGCAGGGGCCATGGAAATAAACTGAAAGAGAAAAAAGTTTTAAGTGATAATGCCGAACGAGGGAAAACTAGGTTGCAGTATGGAGTAGTCTGCTTCGCATCTGAAAAATGCCATTTCTTTGCAAGCGTGACATTTAACATGCAGCCAAGTCTCTAGAGTAGTGGTTAAGCACAAGGACTGAAGCTACCCACATTCTCACTGCATCTTGGCTGCTTATCATCGGACAAACAATTCAAGCTCCATGCCTTAGTTTCCTCATCTTTGAAGCAATAGTAATAATGATTCCTTCCTCCTTGGACTGTTGTAAGAACTAAATGGTTCAATTTATGTAAAATTTTTGAACTCATGCCTGGCACAAAGTGACGCATTCAAGAGATTTTTGTTGTTGTTATTGTTTTGTTGTTGTTGTTTGTTTTGGTTTTTGATACTGGGGATCAAACTTGGGACCCTGTGCTTGTGAAGCAGGTGGCAGAACTGAGGTAAATCCCTGGCTTAAGAGATGTTTATTTTTAACAGTAGCACTACCGGCATATAATATTTTCTAATTTTACATCTTCAAAAGAGGTTTCTTTTTGTTTCTATTTCTATGGCATGTCAAATACCAAAGCAGCTCAAATTGCTACTATATTCTTGCAAAGACATGCATGGAATGAACCCTGTTGAAGATTCCTGGAATTATTTGTATTTTAGTTGTATAAATAAATCACAGAGCTTATCCCTAGATCCTTATCTCAAATAGCCAATGGCAGAATTCTTAAGACCAAAGTATTCTTCATAGATTCATAGATGGTTTACAAGATTTTATGGTTTTATCTTAAAGGGGAAAAGTCACTAAATAAAGAAAGAAAGAAATGAGGAAAATGAGGAAACAAAATCAGTTATAACTCAAATGGAAAACCCTCGGCTGTTTTCCTCCAGCAACCACCTGTCCCAAGGGAGGTTGCAGGTGAGTCTCCCAGGCGCATTCAGTCTGTTCGTTGCAGGGAGGCTCTTGCCTCTGGTGTCTCTGCTCAGCAAAGCTTTGCTGAAGCTTATGGAGGCACTAGAGACTCTTGCTCCCTGGGCCTATTTATGGTGACCTCAAGGCTGGTCTCTGTCCACTGTGTCTTAGCACGCCACAGGCAAAAGGGGAGGATGGAATGGGAAGAGAAGCATGTGAGAAGGAAAGTGTCTCCCTTTGGGTTTCTTTCTGGTAAAGCTGTGCTGCTCCACATAAGCATGACTGACACTGTGCACCAGCGGACTGGTTTGTGTGGACTCTGTCCACTAGATTTCAATAGCACACACTCGCAGGCCGATGGAGACAGTTGTCTCCAGACAAGATCAGCTCCAGAGGAGAGTCATTGCTTTCAAGGCCAACTTTAATCACAAGACCATCCATTTTTACCTATTTCCTTGACCAAGAAGAGTTCAGCGATGAAGAGGACCTTAAGTGCCAAGTCCGCCTGTACTGACCACCAGACTACCCAGAACCTGAAGTGAACTGCAAAAGCATAAAAATAAAACCATCCCTTCTGCCTACAATATAAGACAGAGTAGCATAAATTTATTTGCTGGGTTTGTTAAAAAACAAAAATTCAATTCTAGCTAAAATAAATAAAGTGATCTTTTCTTTTTCCTAAAGTTAATGCATTAGAACAGCAGGTTTTGAATTTTTTTCTTGCTCTTATTATTTTTTGCAGTCATAATTTCTGTAGCAAAAATGTATAGTCTTCAGGGTACATGGTCAAGAAGCTAACCTTAGTTATCTTTAAAAATTTAAATTTCTTAGCAGGGCTTGGTTGTGGATGGCTGTAATTCCAGCACTCTTAAGCCAGGAGGATCACCTTGAGTTCAAGGCCAGCCTGAAGTGCATATCGAGACCCTGTCTCAAAAATAATCAATCGGGACTAAGGATTTAGCTCAGTGGTTCCACAGCCTGCCTTGCAAAAGCAAGGTCCCAAGTTCGAACGCTGGTAGAAAAAAATCAATCGATCAACCAATCTTTCATTGCTTTAAAAATATGAACATACTGTATATTTCATAGTTCTAATGGTCTAACAGCAACTAAGCTTTTTTCTAAAACATTGCGCTCTCTCATAATAATAGGTAGTATTTTTATGTTCTGTGTACAAGCTCAGTTCTTTGTATTACTTTGATGTATAAATAGTAAGTTCATATTTAAAATTTATGCTTATGGACTTTATGTCTGTTATTTCTATATAAATCAGATCATAACAAAAATATGCTTAGACAAAATTTAGGTGATATATCTGAGTTCTAAATGTTTTGTACTAGAAAGACTATTTTAATGCAAACTGACAACACGGAACAAGGTGCATAATACCTTTTTTACTCTAAATATTTTAACTTTACATAAATTGCTGAGTGAAGTTTAGACCCTCAAAATTATCACTGAGCCTAAAATATCAGGCCCTTACGTTAAAATCATGAGATGATGCCAACTACTGTTGCATTTGCTTTAGTGTTGACAAAATAAGTTTAAAGCCTGACTTTTTCAGTGTTTCCTTGATTTTTCGTGTCTAGTTTTAAGAAAAATAAATCACATGAAAAAGAAGCCCCTTGATGAAAGATAGGTATTTGTATTTTTCATGTCCTTTGGCCATTCTATTGAAATTTTTAAAAGTAATCTTGGCATTTCTTGATCATTGCTAAGAGTAAGTTTTAAGTGTTCTTACAACAAAAAAATGATAACTATGTGAAATAATACATGTTATGGAGCCAAAGTTAGCCATTCTGCAATGTTTACATGTTTAATATATACTGCTTTTGTTAATGAAGAAAGTAATCTTGGCAGATGTTTCTGTGGACTAGGAAAATGTTTTTGTAAATTTATAATTTAAAAAATGTTTCCTCTCTTTGATTTTCAGTATTGTGACAACTTATAGGCAATCACCAGATCTGGGCAAATTTTACATGACAACAATAAACTCACTTTGCTGTATGTTACATATAACACTATGCCAAATTATGTTCATACATTTTGTGTTTGTGCTGTTTTTAGTTCATTTTATTTGTAATTCACAAGTCATATTTCTATATATTTATTTATATAATTTATGTGATATTTATAGAGACATGAATTTATTAAATACTTCTGGTCATAATTGTCCTTGTATTACTTTTTAATATCTATTATTGTAGCTTCTTGGATAGTGAATGTCTTGGCAAAAACTTAGAGTTGAAAAATGTTGTCTGACATTAAGTATTTATTAATGGATCCAAAATTTTGCTAGACTTAATGGGTAAAAACCTAAACGTAATAATACTGTTTAAAAGAAGAGGAAAAATAGAAAAGAGGGAAGACTGTACTCTATATCTCAAGATCTGGTTGAAGCCATATGACCTCTGGAAATGTTGGGCAACTCAAAGGGAGATATCAGCAGTGTGTAATCAGGGTAGAGTATCATCTGTATTACAGAAATTCAGAGTTGAGAAAGGTTATTAAGACTTGTGATTAGAGAAACTTCATGTACAATTGAGTTATGTGAGCCTCAAAGGAAATTAGGATTGGATTTGTTCTTAGGCAGTTTACAGAGCTTTCAGTTAGAAAAAGTGGCATTCCAGGTACAATGACAAGTGTGAGAAAAGTGCTAGAGCTAAGAAAAGGTTTCCAGTGTAGAAATACATTTTATCCAAGAGTCCCAATTTCCCCCTGTAATTCTGACATCATTTTCTTACACTCTTTAGAAGAATATTTTTTATTTTCCTGCCCTTTCTGATCTTAAATCAGAAAACATGAAGGTATTTTGGGGATGGAGGGAACAAAGTTAACATGTAGTGTGAGAAGTACCTGATATTCATTTGAGACACATATCGTCTGTACTGCCAGAGATAGAAAAGAACCAAAAAATGTTATGCTTTTTCTATTTACTCTGTTACTTAAAAGTTTATAAGATCCTACTTTGTTATACAAAGTGCCTGTAGATCCAGTCACTAAAAAGGCTGAGGCAGGAAGATCACCTGGCCCTACAGTTTAAAGCCAGACTGAGCAACATTAACAAGACTCTATCTGGGAGAAGGACACAATAGAAACTATCAACAGATTCAAATGTATTTTATTTGTTGGTAGTTTATATTTCTGAACATCTTTTGATATAGAAATCCTTCACTTCAGTGGTCCTTAATCTGTGTTAATCAGCTTTCCACTACTCTAACAGAGTTCTTGAAATTGTCCATTTGAAAAGAAGACAGGTTTATTCTGTTTCTCAATTTAGAGAAGCTGGTCCATGATCTGTTGGTCCCATTGCTTTGGGCCTGCAGTGAGGCAGTACCTAGGTCATGGCAGCGGTGAATAGAAGAGCAAGGTGTTCTCCTCAAGGTCCTCAACTCTTCAAGGGCTCACCTTCAGAGATCTAAAACCTCCTCAGGCCCTGCCTCTTGGACATTTCCAACCCTTTCTAATAGCACCAAGCTAAGGACTAAGATTTAATCCATGTATGGGTCTTTGGGGAACATTTCTGATTAAAACAATAGCACAACCTTTTCCTCATCTTTTCTTCTTTCCTTTGTTCAGAGTTGCCAGTGTGACACAACACCATCTCTTATCGCATATGCTAAGGAATGGTGGGCCTGGGGAGGACTTCATCAGAATCCCAGAGAGGAGAGTAGGGCGTACATGGTTTGACAGTTCCCCTTGGAACTGTTGGTATCTCCACTTCTCTGTACCCTTTCCTATATAATCATTTTTATATGTGTTTTAAATTCCAAGTCTCATTTGATTGTTTTCTGGAGTGCTATCAATATATTGGATTATCAATAATTAGAATAAATGATGTCCTTTTATAATTTAAAATTTTTTTTAATTTTTCTCTGTATATCTCCCCCAATCCCCCTTTCTTTTTTTACAATTTCGTTTTTAGATCTCAAAGTCCAAGAGTGAGGGATCCATTCAGGTTCACCAGGTCCTGCAGCCAGAGCAGTCTGATAGTGTTTCTCAGATCAGCCTGCAGCTAAATCGTAGGAAACCTCGCTTGGATGATGGGAATCCTGCAGAAGACATCAGTGGTGCCAAGTGGGTAACCAGGTTGGCAAGTTTTCCTTTATCTTTGTGATGTACACTGCATTACCTTCTCTAATGTATAGGCCTACATATCGAAGTTTGTCTGTATGACTTCCACTGAGTCAACAGAATATGTAGATCAGCAAAAATGGCTAAGTTTTGAGAATTTTTGAGTAGTTATTATCATAGAAGGTATAAGAGCTTCTGCTGTACTTTCTGGATTTGAACATTTAAACTATGCTGAGTTCACAGTTAAAGAGTGCCTTTTCAGTTGCCTTTTCATGGATCATTCCATGGAAAATACTATGTGCAGTTTAAAGTGGAAATCAGAGTTGTAACTTGAACCAACTCTTATAGACTAATTTGCCTTTAAACAATAATACTACACGTGAAACATGAAAGCGAAATTCTGTGATATACTTGAAGAAAAAAAAACATGTAAGTTTCTTAAAACAGCTGTAGTATGGCTTGAATTTTATTTACTCCTAGCAGACAGACTCTTTTAGAGAACTAAGTATTGAGAAGCTCTAGGGAATTTGAAGATTTTAAAGACTTTAAAGGGGTAAATAATATACTTAAAGAGCTTGCCACTTTGTATTGCCTTATGAAAGAATTAGAATTTGAGCTAGATCTTAAAAGATGAAGATAATTTTAATGGAAAGAGGAAGAAGACTGGGCTATTTCAAATGGGCCACTTAGGAGGCATGAGTGTTAAAATCAGAGATGAGACTGGAAATGTGGGGGTAAGGCTCCATCATCTAGGGCCAGGAATGACAGTCTGGAATATTTTTGCATTCAATCAGTCATTAATTAAACCAATATTCAACAGTCACTCTGTGGTTCTAGAAACTGCCTTAATGCAGGAAATGCTACAATGGACAAAGTCAGTCAAGCCCTTGTGTTTGTGAACCTCATGTTCTAACAAGGAAAATAATAGAGAGGCACAATAGAATAAAAGCCTGTGAGGAAAAACATTTCCACTCTAGTAGTATTAATAAACTAAGTTATTATAATGAATTCAGTTAACATAACAGACTGACTCAAAGCTCACTTTAGTTTGAGAAGTCGGAGGCCTGGACTGAGATGTGAGTGGGGGTGGAGAAGAGAGTCTGTGAAGACCAAGGAAAGATCTTGTAGGCAGATGTTACAGTGCATGCAAAAGAACTGAGGTCGGAGACGCTCAGCTTCATCCTACAGGTGAGCGAAAGCCTGTGAAAGTACACAGAGAGAGGAGGGCGATGGGCTCCAGGGAGAGTTGGTGTAATAGGAAAAGTAGTCTTCCATCAGCCTGCAGGATTGGAGGAAGGGACTTCAGCAAGGGAAGTAGTGTTGGTTCCTTTGATAGCTATTAATCTTTTAATAGTTATGTAGCATTTATTGGAAAGACAAAAGTCCTACACTTGGGGAGACAGAAGAAAGGGGAATAAAACTTCAACAAGTATCAAGAAAGACGTATTTACTAAATACCCATTATGTACCAGACATTGTGAGATGGTCTGCTGATAAAATCAAAAATAAGATCCAGGCGTTCCTCTTAGGAAACTTAGAGTATAGTTTGTGAGGAGCTGTGCAGGAAAGAAAAGGGCACGGATCCATGTGGGCAGATGAGGATCAGGAAAGAGTCTGATCTAAGGTTTATAGGATAAGTAGAAATTTAGAGGATAAGTAGAAATTTCTCTGAGGGTGCTCCTCAGAGAAAAAGCAGTAAGTGAGGACTTCTAGGGCCATGAGGACAGTTCAAAAGAGAACTGCAAGCACAGCATGGGACTCATCAGAGTAGAGAAAGTAGAAGGTAGTGGTGTATTTTGACCAGCTTTCCATTATTGTAACAAACACGTGAAATAAACCAACTTTTAAGGAGGAAGTGTTTATTCTGGTTCGTGATTTCTGTCCAGGGTTGATTGGTAGCTTTGCTTTGGGCTGTGGCAAGATGGGGGTCGTACGGTAAAGGAAATTGTTCACCTTGTGGTGCCAGGAGACAGAGTGAGGAAGAGGAGGGTTTGTGATCCCAGTGTCCACTTGAAGGACACACCTCAGTGACTTCGCTTCCTTCACTAAGCACCTAAAAGTCCCACCACCTCCCAATAGGGCCTTCAGTACATGAGCCACTAGGGGACACTTATGCAAAGCATAACTGATGGTTTAAGATGGTTTAAGAGACCAAATCGGTCAGATCTTGAGAGACTATATCTCACATTAAGGAGTTTGGATTTGTGTCTTGAAATGATTTCAGGAATACAGACAAGAAAATGATATAAATAGACTTGTATTTCATAAAAGATTATGTGACAGCTACACAGAAGGAAGAAAGGGAAAACTGTAAGTAGTGTTGGGAGACCAACAGAGGGACTGTTGGGACAATCGGTTCAAAGCACTGGCCTCCATTAAGTCATTGTCAGCTTGGGGTATGGGGAGTCTGTCCTTTAGAGGGAGAGATTAAGCTGTTACTCAGAATAACAGATCCAGAAAGATCCCAAAAGACTTGGGATTTTTCTCTATTTTCTTTGTTAGCTGAGGAATGAACATAGTGTGATGAATGAAATATAGGCATGTGTGTGTGCTTCAAGGACAGAGCCAGCAGAGAGGAAGAAGCAAAGATCGAGGTCTTCCAGGGGGGAACCCAGAGACCAGGGAGCTATGCAGAGACAGCAGAGGAAGAAGGTCATGAGGGAAGGTCATAATTGTAGAGGGATTAGCCTTGATTGCGAGGAAAGGTTAAGGAAATTATAAGGGACACACAAAATACTAAGCCTTTTTAAAGTTTTCAAATATAGTTTAAAATCCATCATCAAGTGACAAAGCTAGTGTAGATGTCTCAATTGTAAAGAATGATGTCAAAAATGCCTTAAGTGTAGTAAAAATTCACTATTGTTTCTACATCACTTTACTGTATCCAATCAGAAAATTAAAAAAAAAAAGTTTCCTATTCCTAAAGGTAGCAAGAAAAAGAGCTTTGTGTTTGGAGAATGAATTTGCATTTCTGAGAAATAAACCAAGAAATGAGATTATAGAGGGAAGACACAGCTAACCATTGCCATAGTCACTGTTTGTTCTTTTGGTCCTCATGTTACAGCCCCAGTTAAAAGAAATGCATAATTGTATTTATGAGTCTCATATATACCATGTTAGTCACTTTCCTGTTGCTGGAACAGAATACCCGACCTTCTAATTGAAAAGAGTAGAAGTTTATTCTTGCTCGTTGTGTTCACAGGATTCATTCTCTGGCTAGTTGGCTCCAGGGCAGACAGTGGTATGGCAGAAGGTCATGGCAAGGGAAAGCCACTCACCCCATGGCAGCCAGGAAGAGAAAAAGAGAGGAGCTTGCAGGCCAAGGATATATACTTCCAGGTCATACCTCAGTGACCTGTCCTCTTTGACCAGGCCCGACCTCCGAACGTGAGACTGTAGGGAACACTTTAGATGTAAATCATAACAGGCTCTTTCCAATTTTCTGAAGTAGAGCCAGGCCACGTTCTGTAGGACCATTGTCCATACTAAGCCATGCGCTGCCGTCATGCCTAAACGTGTTTCCTGTCCATCGTCGGCCCATTGTATCCACAGAGATTGTTGCTTTTAACTTCTGAATTACTTCCTTGTGAGGTAAAGTATGAGGCAAATTATCAAAAGACAATCAGAAGTCATTAATATCAACTAAAATAGGTTTTAAATTCCTTATATATCTTTAAAGTAATATAGTACTTATTATGCCAGTTTTATTTCTTAAAAAATGAATTTCCAAAACTGTTTTTATTTGTAAATATTTGCTAGAACAAGTTGCTTAGTGGTTTGTACATTTTAAGTTAAAACTACATAAAGAGGAGAGAGGGTCTGCGTGTTTTTATAAAATTTACATATACTACCACTTTCTCTAAATCTTTTCTTGTTTCTTCTTAATAGTTTATTAGCTGCTCCAGTCTCAAAGGTTGGCACTGTGCATGGAGAACATTGTCTTACCCCTATTCTTGGATATGATATTTGCATTGGCTTACCAAATCTTTTTCAAAGAATTGTCAAAAAATGTTGATGTTGGGCTTTTCCTAGTATTGAGTTTTTTAAATTGCTCACTGAAAAAGGAAAGAAAAGCAACATTTATTCTTGTTTGGCTTATGATCTAGTAAATTGATCTAGTAAATCTATTTCACAAGCAAACAAAATTATTCTGTTTGCAATTATTAAAATCACTGTAACACACTTATACCCAGGGGGTTGGTTTTAGCAGTTACCATAACACAGATAAGACCAGGAAAGAAAGAACTCTTAGTACTGAAGTTTCCTGAATAATGAAGTGCCCTGTGATTTTTTTAAACACTGGAGTAAAGGTTGACTTCTAAGATTTTAGTGAAGTCATTTTTTGCTAGCAATCTTTTTTCTTATAACTTTGAATCATACAGGTTAGACCATTTTTCTCCCAGTTTGACTCGCTTCAATCTTTTTTGTTTTAAATCTTATACATAGTCTCATTTCTTCTTCAGCTATAATGAATATATGAATTATTATCACCAAGTGTTGATTATTTTTCTGTTCTTTGACAGTAGTTGGGTGTTATTACTTTTAGATAGTTTTTATCTTAAAACAATATTTGATGAATAACTTGTTTCTTGTATTTATATAAATACATACAAGTGGTATTAATATAATCATATAAAGAATGATCATTTTTAAATTCCAATAGAAGCCTTCTCTCTCAGAAAGGATTAAGAATAAATATTTTTACTATATTAGAGTTCAAAAGAATGATCTATTTTGTACTGAATTCAGAGCTAAAGACCAAAGTGCTTAGTGACATTTTCATTTCATTCAACAAAAGCATTAGCTAATTGTCTATATTACTTAAAACTGGCAGCAGCATTTCCTAAAATACTACTAAAAACTCTTTTTTTGTAATAAAAGAGTACTTGTTAGTGAAATACATAGCAGACTAAACAGCATAATTTTAACCCAACATGAGCTTTGAAGAAGTACATGCCTGTCCTTCCCAGTGTAGGTCACGTGTACAAGTTTGCTGATTTCCTGCACCTCAGCAGAAATAAAGTGTCTGTTGGACAGGCGTACCCCTTAAGCAAAGTTTCCAGTCCTCGCCAACCAAGATACTCTTATCTGATTCCTCTTAAGGATATTGGGGGAAATTGTCACAAAAATTGAACTGTGAATATTACCTAGTATGTTAAAGAGGCCATTTAAATTTTTTTCCAGAAGGGAGAGTTACATATCTATATGGAAAAAGAAAAAAGGGAAGCTCTGTATTATGTATCAGAAGTGTTGAAATGATTTGCAGTTTCAGAGAGAGATTTTTGTTCTTTCAAGTGAAATAGATGCATGAGCTTTTTTGTATTTCTACAGGAGTATTATAATACTGATTTTGATATTTTTAAAATTTAGAACTTAAACAGAGAAAAGAGAGTTAATATTTTAGTTTTTTAGATTTTAAACAGTATTTATTGTAATGTTTTAAAGGTAATATATTTCCTTAAACATGTGATGTCCTTTAAGCCCCAAGGAAAATCTCTAGTTTCATTCTGGGTAAAGACCAAACAGATCATGTATTATGTGATTCCATCTGTATGAAATGTCCAAAAAAGACAAATTTAAAGGAGCAGAAAGTAGGTTTATGATTGTCTGAGGCTAGGGTATGGACCCAGGAATTAAATGTAAATGGCCTGAGGAATCTTTCTATGTCACTTTAATATATCTAATCAGAAAATGAAGAAAAAATTTTCCTACCCCTAAAGGTAACAAAAAAAAAAGAGAGAGAGTTTTGTGTTTAGAGAATGAATTTGCATTTCTGAGAAACAAACCAAGAAACTAGATTATAGAGGGAAGGCACAGCTAACCACGTAGGTAGCCACTGTTTGTTCCTTTGATCAGTGTTTGTTCCTTTGGGAGAATGAAAGTGTTCTGAAAATGATTTAGTTGTAAAATGATTTAGAAGCAAAATGATTTACAAGTAGTTACATCTCTTGAGAAAGTTTTTAAGACGTCATTGAATTGTGCACTTAAATAAAAAGATATTTTCAAATATGAATACCTGGATTCAATCTTACCACTAAGAAAAATGAAACAAACATTCTGGTGAAGAGGGATGGATATACTTCAACAAGAATATCTCTTAATTGCAAAAACTAAAATGCAACCATTGTTGTTTTATAAATGCTATCCTCAGAGAGTATTGCTGTATTACATTTTAAAAGAACTTAGTCCTTCAAACTTTTCTTCTAGTACATCTTGGTGGTGAAAAATAAAGCTCATGTCATCCCGAAAGGTGATTCATGAGGAGGGAGAGGGAAAATGGGGAGAAAAACTTTTGTTTGCTCATCCTGAAGGATTCCAGTCTGTAGTTTCCTGTGCTACAACCAAAGGTTACTGAAATGATCAGTACTTCAGAAAGATATGAAAACAGAAAGAAAAACAGTGTGGGAGTCTGGCTGTTTCTGTCTCTCTGTCTCTGTCTCTGTCTGTTAGTACATCTTGGTGGTGAAAAATAAAGCTCATGTCATCCCGAAAGGTGATTCATGAGGAGGGAGAGGGAAAATGGGGAGAAAAACTTTTGTTTGCTCATCCTGAAGGATTCCAGTCTGTAGTTTCCTGTGCTACAACCAAAGGTTACTGAAATGATCAGTACTTCAGAAAGATATGAAAACAGAAAGAAAAACAGTGTGGGAGTCTGGCTGTCTTTCTGTCTCTGTCTCTGTCTCTGTCTGTCACACACACACACGCACACACACACACACACACAACACATACACACACACCCAACCTAGGCCCATAGTTCACATGCAGACGACTTGCCTGGTATGCTCCTAGGGTTAAGATGAGTTTTGTGACTCTAAGTGTCATTAGGTCTGAGAGTCAACAGAAGTTGATGGTCTCCTTTCAAAGTGAGAGTCTGATAGATACTTTGACAATTAGTGAAAACTTTATAATTGGTTCTTTTTTTAATCTTACTGAGTTTATTGGTACTTTTAAAGTATACAATACAGTTCCATTCATCATTGGGATCCTGTATCCTTACATGGCATATCTTGGTTCTCATTTTTCCCCATACCCCTGCCCTCCCTTCACCCCTTCCCCTCCCCTGTTTACAAACACTTTGTTTCCATTTTTTCCTTTTCTCATATTTTTTCCTGCCCCTTATTTCCTTTCCCCTATTCTTCCCACTTCCCCAACACCTTTAGACATTTTCTTACTATTTCACATTAGCAGTTATACAGTTTGTATACAGTTATACAATTCACACTTTTAGTTTTTCGCACCAGGGAATCTATTCGGTATTTACACATGTGTGTTTTATTTATTTCACTTTAGAGTATGGCCTCAGTATTCGATAAGGCTAACTTTTTTAATGAAGGATATCAAAAGACATTTCCTACCAATGAGATATAAGTCCAGAAATATTAGTAAAAACATATTGTTTAGTGATAGGGAGGTAAATACCGAAACAGCTAAGAGTTGAAACTAGTGGTGTTTTTGAAGTGAGAAGCAGGAAATGAGACAGTTACAGAACCCATAGCAAGGGTTTAGTATTTCTTGTTAAACACTTTGAAAAACTCCATTTTTCAAAACTCTAACTTGCTCAAGTTTCATACATGAATAACACTGGTAAAGAGACAAAGATTTTCGAGAGTATGTAAAGGACAGCAGGAATGGCTATAATTGGCTCTATAAAGAAACTATATAATGAGGAATGCTTAAAATGCTTTCATTTTCCATGATGGGAATAAATAAATAGGTATCATCATGCCAGCTATTTACCTAGTGTAATTATGAGGAATATGGATGGAGTCAGAGGAAACATCCTTGCCTATGTCACAGACATGTTCTTAATTTGATAGATAAATGAAGGAACTAAATCTCTTTTCAATGTATTTTAAAAACACGTCTTTTGAAGAGGGTGCTCTGGCTGAAAAAGTTGTTGCAGTCTGAAAGTGCTTTCTGATCTCTTCCTTCCCTTTTGTTCGTATGTTTTAATTGCTTAGGGAATACACTTTTAAAAAATTAAAACATCACTGATAAGGCTAAATTTCCCCTTCACTCCCTGGCTCCATGATTTTAGTTCACTCTTCTGTCCCCCAGGGCTAAGATAACTACGGTTGTAACTTTGGTTATATATTCTACCAGACCTATTTTCATGTTTGCATACAGGAATGTATTTTACACATTTTCCCCTTCTTAATTAAAAAATGTCATCTTTATGCTGAACATATTGTGATAATGTGTAATGATAATTTTCAAATCAATACCTTGGACCTCAGCTCAGTCCTAGGTATCTAATACCTGCCAGAAAATCTCCACTTCCGCATTTACCTTAACTCAGTGTTCCCAAGCAAAAATCATTTTGTCTTCTCCTCTTGACTCAGCTGTATTTCATCCTCTCACCTGCCAGATAGAAACCTTTTAAATCGGCAGTCAGCAAATCTTGTTAGTATTTTCTTCTCAGTGCCTTCAATATTCCTTTCCCTATTGTCCCCCTCATAACATCAACCCTAATTTAGGCCCCCATCACCTTGTGGTTGTATGATTGCTTTATTTTCTCCATTTCACCAATCTAGATTCATTTTCTCCATATACATTATTCCTGTGTCTCCTCTGTCTTCAGCTCCTAACTCTGTATCTGATGACATCTAAATCTGTTTCACCTCTCCCAAAAATTTCCACGGAGCCTTACTTATCAGTCACTCCAACTTGCGGGCATGGCTTCTCTATCCCTCAGAGAGCTCAAACCCTTCCTGTGCCCCAACTCCTGATATTAATCCATAGCCAACTACTTCTGCAATGCTCTCGGACAGTCTCACTCTTTACATTTGGTCCAGTGATTCTACTATCCCTTGCTACCTCTTCAGACCCTGAAGTTTAAAATATCTCATTCCCTCTCTGTCAGTTTTATGGCTTGCTTCTGCTAGCCTACAAGACACGTCTTGTCCTCTGCATTCCTTTCTAGCCCTCTTTCCCCCAGCTCTGTGTGTTAGCCAGCTCTCTGTCACTGGGACCAGACACCTGGAATAGTCCGCTTAAAAGGAAGAAAGGTTTAATTAGGGAGCCTGTAGCAGCACCATATATTGTAGGAAGGAGCGCAGGGCAGAGGAGGCCTGCTTACCTCATGGTGGAAGGTGGAGGAGTCGGGGACCCAATATCCCCTTCAAGGATACAATTGCAGTGACCTCACTTCTTTCCCTTAGCAGCCTTGTGGTTAAGGTTCTACTGTCTCCCAGTAACACCCCAGCAGTGACCAGTCCTTGAACACACATGTCTTTGGGAGACATTCCAGATCCAGCCTACAGCACTGTCCTTCCCTTTCTTTCATTCCTATAGCAAAACACAACATACACTTTTCAGAATTTTCTTTGTTCCAGATGTTTTCTTCAAAATCAAATCATGTTAGATTTTTCTCTTAGTATTTGCTCTAAAAATTATGATAACTTTTTTTTTGTTATGTCACAGTTTTATCAGGTAGCCTTGTACAAAGAAAGAATTTTGGGTCTGAAGAGTGACCTTGGATAAAGAAAATGTAATGCTCAGGTTATTCATTTCCTAAATGTTTACTGAGTTAGCTGAATTATCCAAGATCACATATTTAATTGACAGGCTGAGACTAAATACAGGTGTGCTGATTACCTTACAGTTGTTTCCTGCCAGTCGTCCACTTCATGTTGCTTTATCCTTTTATGTTTATAAATTTCTCTCCCACCTGACTGTAAGGCCCTGAAGCAGAGGACTGTGGCTCTCACATCCTTGGTATCCACAGCAGTAGAGGAAGCGTGTATGTAGTTGCTGCTCCCATAATCGTTATTATGGCGATGTTGTATGTTCCTGGTTTGGCTTTAAATTTCACCACCAGACAAGGACACTGACGTGTTTTCATCTATCTGACCCAAACCTCTCTGAGATTGAAGTCTGACTCTAAAATAACAGAATGTTTGTATGTCATGTTATCTCTTGTAGTCCCTTGGATAGCACTAGTCTAAGAGAACCCTATTGTGCATTCTCTTAGAAATAGAAGTCAGGACAGCTGTGCCCTCCCAATGTCCCCACTGAATTGCTCTTCTGTCAGTAACCTGCTGCTTATTTATGTAGGAGAAATCCATTGTGTTCTGCAAGGCTCGGGACAGAAAGTCTGTGCCTTGTGATGTTTACCCAACAAAGAACACTTCACATTTTAGTAACCTATTACAGTAATACAGTTCATAAGAATCAAACTTTCAGCAGTATGAATAATGAATTAATACTAATTGCTAACTGAACCCACTGCCCTTCAAGGTATCTAATCTATTAGCTCCTGCTATTAAATATGACTTCCTTCATTTCTGAAGCCCAGCCAGCAAAAGCCAGCGGACATAACTATCCTGTGTTTGTACTTCATAAAGGGCACTTCAATTACTTCCTGAACATGTGTGTGTGTGTTCCGTATAGTGTTTCACTCTTCTATTTAGAGCCAAGTTTTAGGATTTTTAACTATCTAGTGAAGCTGAAATGAAATTAAGATACTTAGCTACAAGATTCATGACTATATCATCTGCAGTGTAATTTGAAAATTTGCCAAGTATTATAGTTCTGCTGACCTGTGCCGGGCTGTTGTGGTTACTCCCGCCCAAATGAGGTAGGGTTTGAAGCTGCCTTGCAAAAAGCATGTGAATTTGACCCCACTGTTCTCCTACAGAACCCCTATTTTCTGAGTGGTTGCTACATTTTGGCTGTTATAACCAAGATTTTTAGAAAAATATATTGAGATGAACCCAAGGTTCCAGACTGGATTAGAAAAAAAAATACCTAGTATATCTCTGCAATAGCTTTCTAATCTGGACCAACATTAGCTGCCATAATAAATACCCCAAGGTCCTAGATAAACTGTTTCATGTAAGCTAAATATCTTTTGAAAATATTTTCTAGTGTTTAGCTTCAGTCTTTCTAAAATGAAAACCTCTGATCTTCCTGTCAGTGTTTTGATTGTCGAAGTATAAATAATTTTCAACCCATTTACCAGAAACTGCCCCCAATATAACTGCTATGACTACTCAAATTTTGCTGTTTCACAGGGATCCAAACTGCAAATTAAATAAAAACTATTTTTTCTAATTCTCTTTATAGAACAAGTGGATGATTAAAGAATTGGTAAGGTAATGGTAAGATTTGTTGTTCCTTCAGATTATTTCTTGTGTTACACAAACCACTGGGGAAGATCCAGACTGCTGTGGTCTTAACTAGATTTACCGTAGTAATTCAAAGTCAACAAACTCCTACTGGACACTTTCTCTGTAATGCACATTATGCAGAGGACTTTGGGAAGACAGACAGCCTAAGGGAAGGTTTCTAACTTTAGGAGTTTCATAGTCCATTGAATGAAACAAACTTATAAGTGGCTAATAACGTAGGAAAGAGGCAGATTTACAAGGAACTTAATAAAGATGGTATCAAAGCAAAAAGGTCTTCACCTTGCCTGAAGTTCAAGACATTTAAGAAGTCCAGCTCAACCCGCCTTCCTGACCTACTCTTTCAGTCTCATCCTATATTTAGGCTACATTATAACTGCATTATTTTGAATGTATTCCAGTGGCTTCATACCTCTATATCTTTGCTATCATTGTTCCCTTTATCTGGAGTGACTTCTCCCACTTTGCCAGGGGCCAGTTTAAATGCATCTCCCCCATGAAGCTTCCTCCAACTCTGACTTCATATATGTGGTATCCTGCAATATGTGTTTTAGTATCTTCTTTCATGTAGGGTGAGATTTGCAGCTTTTTCTACATTGTGGTATGGCCATGGGGTGACTGAAAAATATAGTGAATGTTTAAGTTTAAAATATTTATTATGGGGCCAGGGATTTAGCTCAGTGGTGCCGCCACCTGCCTTGCAAGTGCAAGGACCTGAGTTTGATCCCTGGTACAATAAATAAATTCATTTATTTATTTATTTATTTATTTATTATGGTAAAAATTATATCGCTGTTAATCCTCCTCAAAAATACTCCCCCTCACTTCAGAAACATTTGTCTCGTTGCTCTTGCTACTCTCTGAAGCATTTCTGGAAGTTGTCTTTACTAAGTGGCTTTACAAAGTATGATTAAAAAAAATATTGTGAATGTTGCTGCTGAATTACCATCTAACAGAAACACAGGTTTTGTAAAAATATTATAATACGTCCTCATCCACCTTAATCGCTGGATCTGGTACCATGCAACTTCTGACTCTTCCCCAAAATCAAAATGTCCATGAAGGATAAACATTTTTGAATCAGGTCAGGACAATGAGGCAGCCATGACAGCGCCACTAGAGACACTCAGGAGCACTGCTTTTGAAAAGTGTCAAGGATGATGGGATGAGTGTGTTCAAGGCAAGGAGGGATATTTTGAGGGGTATCAATGGCAGTGTGTCATTTACTGTAATAATTTTTATTTAAAAACACTGCATTTTCAGTCACACCTCATTGTCAGTACTTCATTCCTTTTCAACTTTCAGTGATATTTCATTGTAAGTATACACTACCCTTTATCAGTTCATTAGCTCATGTACATTTGAGTTACTTCAGTGTATTGACTAGAGAAATAGTGCTGTACAGAAACCTGACTCAGTTACTTTTCTTATTGCTGGGACAAAATACTTGATACCCACAAGTAAAAGAAGGAGTGGTTTACTTTTGCTCACAATTTGTAAAGGTTTCACTTTATAGTTAGCTGGCTAAAAGGCAGGCCAGCGTGGCAGAGGATAAAGTCCATGGTGTGGCAGGCAGGAAGAAAGCAGCCAGCCTCCCTTACCCTTTTTTATTCCATCTAGGCTGTGAGCCTACTGGCTGGTGCCACTCACACCAAGGGTGCGTCTTCTGTCTTTCAATAAATCCATTCAACAACACCAAAACCATGCCATACCAATCACTGGGCTAATCCCTTTATCACACACCCATAACCTCCCAAAAGCCTCACCTACAGGTATATGAGGCTATGGGGGACGTGCGATATAAGCTGTAACATCTTGGGTAGATATGTGTTTTGGTTCTCTTGGTGTATGACTAGGAGTGGAATTACTGGGTCATTGTCGCTGTGTTTGTGAGAGTTTGACAACAAAGCATCTCTGCTTTGCATTCCTACCCAGCATTATGTGATGGTTCAAGTTCTCTGCATCATCACCAACATTTGTTGTTGTCTATATTTCTTCTTATAGCTACCTGTTTGGTGCAATGTGGTGTCTTATTGTGGTTTTAATTGATATTTCCCTAATGATTAATGATGTTGAGTATCTTTTCATACTTTAGTAACCATTTGTGTATCTTTTTGGAGGAATGTCTTTTCCAATCCGTGGCTCATTTTAAAGTTGGAATTTCTTTTATTATGTTGCCTTGAACAATATAAGCCCCTTATCAGAATTATGATCTGTACTGTTTTCATATTCTATAGATTGTCTATTTTCTTTTTTTTTTTTTTTTTTTTTTTTTTTTT